CCACCTGAAACTCCCACAGTGTATGGAACGCCCAAGAAAGATGGGAAGGAGCCATAAATACTAAGTGATTGTATAATGGTGAGCAGGCTGTAGTTCATCTGCACTGGTGAAGGCAAGACCTGCACATTAAGTTCCCACTCCAGTGAGTTATGGGTCATTTGCTCATTAGTGAAGTGACTAATCCAGTAGTGAAGAGGATGTCTAGTGAAAATAAATTGCATTATACTACTGACTGCTGTGATGGATTCTTTATATGCTCTTTGTGTTATCGTTCAGAGGACCCCTCTTACCCAACCCTTGGTGTTGCAGCCATGTTATAAGGAATTTTATCACAGCGAACAGGAGTCTTCGTAAGGCAAGAAACAATAGAACAAGCAGGAAATAAATAATAACTAGATAACCAGGAAATAGCACTAACACAATAGATGTTCAGTCATTAGTTTAAACTGTCACATTTGTCCTGAAATGATCAGAACAACCACAGTGAAGCTGCACCAGCGAAGTTTACAATAAATTCACGCTTATGCATTTTGAAGGCCACTTCAGGAGAGCTAGAGGAATAAATGGGGAAATCAGGGGCTAAACTTGACGTTGAAAGTAGGTGAGCTGGAAAATGTTTTTGAGCATTTAAATTCCTTAAAATTTTCAAAGCACTTACCGTTGAAAAGAAACATTGCTTCACCTACCCACCCTTTATAATGACCTAACACTAATATGATAATCTAGATGGGACATTTAATTGTGATGGGGTTTCTTTCCCCACATATTGTCTTCCCAAACATGGTTTAAAAGTCTGTTCTGCCGTTTCAGTTCACGTAAATGGCATGAGATAGTTTCAACATACGGAAATATCATTATGCTTCTGCCTGATTACTGCTAAAATTTTACTGATTAGAGATCATTTAACCAAGCTGTCTAGATTCTGGATGTTTGAATTAATAATAATTATGGGAACACTGAAAATTCTGAAAACGAAGGTAATTTCTGACAAGATTCTGTTATAACTCAACCTATTCAATGCATACAGGATGAAGAAAAGCAATGGGTAGACTCAGGTTTGGTTTGTTACCTATTAATGCTTACGTTACATAAGGATTTTGCATTATACTTGTAGCATTTTGACTGTCTCTTCCACTTTATCTTTTATACCACTTTTATTGGAGATGCTGAAAAGCAATTCTACCAGTTTGTAAGTAAAATAACCTCCAACAGTAAGCAGCAAAGTTCTGCTTGCTTTGCTTTGCAGCTCTCAGAGTTAAAGCCAAGTTTAATTGGAGCTAATCTGAGTCATCACCAAAAAAATCACTTTTTTTTTTTTTTCCCTATACACATTGCCATACAAAGCTGAGAGAGATTTGAGTTTTTAATTGTGGTTGTTTATGACCCTCTTTGGTAGGACTTGCTGAATTTCTAATTATGTGCTTAACAACTGGAACAGGCTCCATATATTACTGCATAAAAAGTCTCTCTTGATCGCTTTCTTCCAAGTTACATAGCAGCCTCGATCAGCGAAGGTGTGGGATTGCTTTCCTGACATTTATTGAATAACCATTATTTAAATTATTTTGCTTGTTTCAATGAATTTGTCATACATTGTATTTTACAATAGATTCTCTTTTCGCTTGTTATTTACATAAAAATTGCAATGCTCTGTAGCCAGAAATAAAGCAATGAACATATGCATGTAAAAGTGAAGTGCGATTCACTCAAAAATCAAAAATATACTGGGAAGCGTAAATCCTTATTTTGCTATAAAACTGTATATGTAAGAAATATTTAAAATTAAAAGTATCATCATAAATAGTAACAGTGAGAATCTCTGTTCAAAGATTTCTAATCCATTCCAAATTAATCTGATTTCACAGGAAAAGAAAGATGTAGTAAAAATAGCCTTTCTCAGCCTAGTGGCATGAGGTATAGTGGTGTAAAAGACCTTGATCCACAACCCACTTGAAGTCATTACAGTGACATTACTTAGCCTTGGATCAAGGATACTGAATTTTAAGTAGATGTGAGACCAGAATCTAACTCAATATACAGACACTGTATCAATTGCACTGAAATGTCTTTCTCTATTTTAGCAGGATCAGAGAACAGTTTTACCACTTTGAATCTATATCTGTAAAACAAATTATTTTTCTGAAGAAATCTGAGTAGCTGACAAATTAGTCCCAACAACTATTTTCTTTCACATTTTCATCAAAGCTATTGTTCAATTTAGAAGGAAAAAAAAAAAAAAAAAAAAAAAAATTAAAGAACCCAAACAACTACCCCAAACAGGATTTTTTCATAGTATTTTTATAGTTTGGAAATGGCAGAGAATTCTACTCTGAAAAATTAGGCAGGAAAAACACAATGTTATATATGCAAAGGGAATGAAAATACCTGAAGGTTTGCTTTTCCATGGTGTAGACATTACACAATAACCGACAGTAATTTAAATTTCATCATTAGCATGCATTTGTAGGGTTTCTTCAAAAGTTAAGTTGATAGTTAATTTAAGATCACTGACTGAGATCACAATACAGTAATTAGACAAAATTAAAGTAAAAATTGTAATAAAATGAATGAAGTAATACAATACATTATGTAGTACTTTTTTCCACGGGCAGCTCCACTGATAATCTTACAGTGCATGAATTATCAGGGAAGAAAAATGCTTTGATTATACAACTCTGTTACAAAACTCTTTGAATTAAGTCAGCAATGCGATAGGCGCTAGCTTTCACTGAAAATACTACCTGCATTTTTTACATCTATTCTGCAGACATATTTTTACATCCATTTTTATTGTAGCAGTGAAAATAGCAAAGGTTTCGGGGACTGCAGAGTGGCTCGCAGTGCTCTAGTGCTTCAGAGGAGTGTGATTTGTTACATATCACTTGTTTAAAATACATGTCTTACAGTAAAATAATGATCTGAAAGACCAGAACAAATCCTGGGTAAAAAGTTAACACAAACATTGTAAAATAAATCTGTTCCTTTTCTGAGGATGAGGTGAAATGAAACACAGAAGGAAGAAAAGAAGAAAATGTATTTCAGCAGAGGGAGTGTTCTTGCCCCTTCCTGGAGTCAACGCTCTCCTGTAATTTTAAATTTCATAGCCAGGGGTTTTGATCATTTTTCATGAGAGTGAATTGCTCAGTTATCCCTCCCGCATAATTTTAAACAGAAACTGGAAGAATAAGAAAAAACAAGACAAAACAAAACCTAAACCCTGTATGCTCCATTTGCTGAATATATGGTTTTCTTCCCCCCATGTGTGCATGTGCCAGATGGCACTACACTGGGCTGGATGATAATAAACATGAAAAATACAGTCAGTGCACGAGCAGAGATAACTGTGGCTGAATGTACCAGGGCTGGGCTGGTAGGGGGAAGGGACAGAAGTTCCAGCTGTGAGAGAAAAGCAAAGTTCAGCTCCTCGAGGGAGGAGCTGCTCTTGTTTCCAATTAGCTCCCGTTGGCAGGGGGACGTGGGGCCACTGGGAAAGGAGGTTGCCCCTGGTTATCCCAGCACCCTGCCCAAGGGGCAGCTTTGGGGCCGTTTCCCTCCCCCCATTAACCTGGGGTGTCGGGAACGTGTTTGTCGCTGTGGAGGGACAGAGGGTCTGGGGTCTGAGGTGGGGGGGTGAGGCTAACCCACCCCCGGGCCCTCGCCCCCGGGGTGTGAGGCCGGCGGGCTGCTGGGAAGGGGTGAGGTCCGGCTGGTAACACGGATTGGGAATAGGGCTGCTGGGGGGGAGAGGGACATGGCTGGGTCAAGGGCGGTGGGATGACCTTGTGGGCCCCTGTCCCCCACCCGTGGCCTGGGCCCTGAGGGCATCGTCCCTCCCACTGCTGAGCGGGAGCTACCCCACGGCAACACCTCCACGGGAGGCGTGAGGAGCAGCTGCTCCTTCCTGAAAGCTGCAGCGTACTCCCTCTCCCTCACGACCTCTTTCTGGAAGTACCTCAGCAGAGATCCAAATGAGGATGCTCCCACTTACAGCAACAGGGACTTCGGCCCCCGGCCACATGCACTGCCGTTGGCCTCTGTGTAGGCATTGGCTGCACAACATTGCTTTTTCTCTGGATTTCTGCATTCAAGTTAGCAAGTGAGGGGCCCGGAGAGTACCTGAAGCATGCCCAAGACCTCCTAGGACATAGATTTGGGGGGATCCATTGGTCTAGTAGGTAAAGTTTTAAGGTGGTGAACTGAGAGGGGAAAGAGTCTTGGGGACATTCACTAGCAAATACCTGGTAGGGATGGGTGATCACAGTGCATATCATCTCTGTTGAAAGATTTGCATGAAACAGGTAGCAGCCTGAGTTCTTGCTCCTACTCATTCGACCAAGAGGCCAGTGTTTTCTTTTAACCCAGTACTTGTCCTTGGAAAACTCTTCAGTGACGGGAAAGAAACTTCCAACCAGAAGATGAAATGGCATCTATTCAGTAATTTATTTTTCCCATTCACTTAAACCTCCCTATGCTTTTGTTTGTTACCCTCATCTTTTCCTTCTTACAAACACCCTGCATTCTGAAAGGGGCAAACTTAAATTTAGGAAGTTAATCAAATCGCAGTAGGTAACTATTTAGTTTTAAATAATTCCATCCTCTGCTTCCTTTGTAATTTACATGCTGATATTACAGAACGCATTACCCAAGCAAAAGAAAAAGAGTCAGTTTAAGGAGCGGGAAAGAAGCACTGAATTATTCTTGGTCCTGCAAAGAATGTAATTAAGAGTTTCTTAGCTCAGCTCTCTTAGTCCGATGAAACTTTCTTCTCTGTTCCTGCACGAACGCTAAACATAGTCTGCATTCATGGGTGACCACTAAAACGTGTGTCTATGAGCTAGGCAGCATCTGAGGCTGGCTATGGCATAATCCATCTTTGTAGGCTCAGTGTTGTAAGGCTGCTGTTGGAGAAGAAGCTTGGGATTCACTAATTCCTGTGAGATAAGAGATGGGAAGGAGGGAAAGGTAACCCCCCAACATTTTAAGATACCGGTAGCACAGACCTTTGCTCCCTGAGCGCAGGCTCCTGACATGAGGGTGGAAGAGAGGGGAATTTCCTCTGCTCACCACATGGTGATCACAAATGTCACCTACAGACAAAAGAAAATGAAAAGGAACGATAAGTGAAACATGGGCAATGATTTAGTCCCCTGAAAACGTACATTAATCATCCGACAGCCCTCAGCTTTGCTGCAGTGAAAGTTCATTTCTCATGGCTGACTTTGGGACCAGTGCTGGGAAGCGGGGCTGGAGCAGGGCTGGCAGCAATATTCAGGAGCGGCAACTGCATGAGTGTATTAAGAAACGGAGCATTCAAAAAAAAACCTCCTAGCGGACCCATAAATAGCCAGCTTAGCTGTCGGTTTAATCACTCGCAAAGACACTGCCTAACTCTTAAGCCCCACGAATCTGAAGTTTTGGAAGCGATTGTGAATAAATACTTCACTGCCTGCTCACAGCGACGTTTCCTCGGCGTTAGCTCATTAGAGTGCCTGAAAAGAGACCCGACAGAAAATAAGTTAAATGCAACTTAAATCATCCAATTCGACACTAAAATCAGCAAGAAAGGCAAGGCGTTCACCAAAAGGTTGCAAAAGGCGTTTAGTGTCAGCTGCACTGCAGTTATTAGGAGCGCAGGGAAAGGGGCTGAGGGATGTGAGTGGGCAAAGTGGCAGGGATCCCAGCCCCCAGTTGTTGTGGGGTTGTGGGGTTTGGTTTGGTTTGTTTTTTTTTTTTTCCCCTTTCTCTCCCCCCCCCCCCTTTTTTTTTTTTTTTTTTTTTTTTTTTTTTTTTTGTGACTTCGAAAGATGTCACGGCAAAGTGAAATCTTTGCGGAGGGCTGCTCATGCATTCAGACTGTAGAGTTTTCAAAATGTGATGTTTCGCAATGATGACATTAGAGTAGCAACCAAGGGTCCGAGACAGCAACGCCTGCTGCAGCTGGGCTTCGCTTTGAAATGCCCAAGACAATGGGGGCCACTGTTCTCCATCGCTTCGCCTTTCCATTCCATTTGCATAGTCTGTTCTGCCTGATTGACCAGCTTGGGCTGTCCAAGGGACCAGCATTGTTCACAGATCACTTCAAGATGGCACAGATGACAAGATTCAGGTGAGAGATGAAGTGGGATGATTCTCAAATGCCATATGAAAAAGCTACCCTGGGAACTTTTAACGCAAGAGAAATAGTTCGAGAATTGAAGCAGCTAAAGGATTTTTTTTTTTCTTAAGAAACTGATCGTATTTGAAAATACTCTGCCTTGACACACAAACTAGTAACAGGAAGGGGGGGTGTGCGTGTGTTCCGTTACGGTATTTTGTTTAGTTGTGGTGTGGGTTTTGTTGTGTTTTTTTGTTTGTTGTTTGTTTGTTTGTTTGTTTGTTTTGTTGTTGTTTGGTTGTTTGTGTTTTTTTTTTTTTCCATCCCAGACCTCACCCTCCCCCGGCTAAAATGGGAGCCGTGCCACTGCAAACCTTGCCGAATGAAAGTTTGCTTGCTAAAAATCATAAGGCGCCGCTAAATAAAGCTCATCACAGAGGCGAGTTTGGAAATTCCTTGGTGCCTGCTCCGTAGCTAAGTGCCAGGATTAATTAGTTAATGTTCAAAAAGCGCTTTCGACGTGGAAAACCCTCCTGGAACGGCGAAGGGCGGAGGGAGCTGCCGGCCGGCCCCGCACAAGGCGGGCGGGCAGCGCCGGGGAGCCCGGGGAGGCTGGAGCACGCCTCCTTGTCCCCGGAGAACTTGCAAACTCCCCGCTGTCCCACATTCCCGTGACTGAAATGTCACGGTTTGGGCTTCTTTTTTTTTTTTTTTTTTCTTTTTTTTTTTTCTTTTTTCCCCTCCCCCGCCCCCTCCTCCCTCCCCCCCTCCCCCGTCCAGGTATTCGAGTAAACACACACAAGGCAGCGCCCCTAAAATGAGTTTCATTTGACACCGATGTTTTGACTTCATCTCAAAAAGACAAAATCTTTGTCATACAAGTATGTTTTCCCTGGAGGGGTTTCCAGCACAATTTGCTATAATTTCTTTACACCTAACGGAACTGATGGGATCTGAGCAGTAAAACATATTCCCACAGTAGTTTCGCTCTCTCGCACTCTCTGTTACCCTCCTGGGGTTCGGATCACTCTCTAGTATAAATATTGCCAATAATTGTGCTAATACGGTGATTCTCAGAAGGAAGCAGAACTCTCTCCTTCTCGAATAGCAGACCTAAAGCCATGCGACTTCTGCTTAATCTCTCCGTGTATTCTCTCCTAGCTGCTCGTCTTTCCCCTGCAGCGACTAATACACTTAATTACATGATTGCCAACAAGGTCCCAGGGGCTGCTGAAGACTGACCCCCGCCCGGTGAGCGGGGCGTAAGGTGCGAGCCTTACACCTCGGAGGGAAGGCGCGTTGAGCAGGACTCGACTCTTCAAAATTATCCCAAAGTTCAGGCCCTTCTCCACTGTTTCACAGACACCCCTTTCATTTTGTGCTCCGGTCCCAGGTTGGTTTGGGTTTCCCCCCCTCCCTCCCCCAACTCCCCGGCCAGAGAAGGGGGTTAAAGCTGCCGAGGAAACTTAAGTGGCTCTGGAGTTTGTTTAATTTCCCTCCAGTGTTTACTGATAATTCGAGAGACGCTTATCTCGGGGAATATAACGATTAATACAACCGCAGGTTTCCAGATAAGTGATTGTGATGGAGATTGTTGGCGAGAAAATAGACAATTATCCGCTGTTAGCTTTACATAAAGATCGCATTAACTTGAATTAGTTATCAGACAAAAGAACATCAGAAAGCTGCACCTTTCTGCCAAGGCAACCGCTCGCAGGCGGTGTGCTCCGCACAAGCAAACGCACCGCTGCCTCCCCAGCAGCTCGCAAGCATGAAAGGGGTGACAGGGGTTGGGGAAGGGGGGAGAGGGGGGGGGGGGGGGGTGTGGGGGGGTTTCACGGCATCGACACGCCACGCTGATGCAGAGGCACGGCCGCGGCGAGGAGCGGGGAGGGCGAGCCCCGGGGCTGGGGGATCGCTTTAATATCAGCTGCCCGGCCGGGCCGCTTTCATTTCCACAGGGCGAAATGAACACGGGCGTGGGGCAGGCGCTGGGCGGGGGGGACGGGACACACACACACGGGACACGACACCGCGCCCGGGGAAGGAGCGGCGTGGCTGATCGCCAAGGAAACCTCGCTGAAAGGGAAGAGGGAGAGCATGTGGCTATTAAACCCCCGACACAATAATAACATTAAAAATATATCTATAATAAAACCATACTGATAACTTGGAGGCAGCTCGCCATTTGCATATGAAACCAGCGGCCAAAAGCGCGGCAATCCCCTTGCCGCATTATGTGCTCGGCGGTCCGAGGTCCCCCCCCCCCAAGACTGAAAAGCCTTTTGATTATTTCTCTTCTCCCTAGGAAAGGCTGATTCCTCCGTAATTGATAGCGGGGAAGGGCCGTAATTAATTTCCAACGAAGTAAAGTGCAGCTTCTTCTCCCGGCTGGAGGGGAAGGGCTAGGAGAGAGGAAAGGGGGCAAAGCAGCAGAGGCGAGAGGAAGGCCCCCCCGAGAACCCCCAATTAAAGGAAATCACCCTCTCCGGCCCCGAGACCCTTCTCGGCTCCTCGCCACCCCCTCGCTCCCCGGGGGAGGCAGGAAGGGCAGGGACCGTGGGCTGCTTTCACCAAGTCAGAAAGCATTCACCAGGGGGTTGTGTCGCGGGAGGTTTCTGTGGGAATCGGGTGGCTCGGGTTATTTGGGGGGGGGGGGGGGGGGGGGGGGGGGGGGGGGCGGGGAGAGGAGCGGGTGCACTCTCGGCTGGTTTCTCTCTGGAATTAAAGACAGTCTTCAAAATAGGGTGTTTGTTAGAGAACTTCAGGCGGGAGGAAACCTGCCATTTCGGATCAGTGCGTTTTCTGTGCTGGATTTCCCGGCAGACCCTTAAGCACCGTGTTTATATGGGGAAGGCAAGAGGGACGCGGGGGAGGGGGGGGGGGGTGGGGGGTGGGGGGAAGGCTTTTCGTGTGTGCGAGGGGGCAATAGGGCAAAAACCGGCGAGGTACTTCTAGGCGTCGGGCTGAAGCCGAACAGACGCTGGGGTAGAGGAATCAGCCGGGGGGAGCGGGGCCACCCCAGGTCCACGCGTGAAGCAGGCGCGCAGGGAGCGGGGAGGGGATGTCAGGTGAAGCGGCGCCGCTCCCACCCGGGACGGAGAGCCCCGGGACGTGCCGCTGCCGCCGCTGGGTCCCCGCTGAATGGAGCGGATAATGATCCCCGGTTCCCAAGGCAGGCTCGCTGCTGCCTGGTGAGCCCTGGATTTGTGTGGTCCAAGCCTTTCCCAGCTTGTCCCATTCTGTCACCGGGATAAGGGGCTCCCTCGGCTCGTTTGCACCTGCGTCGCTTTTGGCTCCTTCAGGAATGCGCTGAAGCTTGTAATCAGCTTTGTGAAGCCATTGAGTGCACGGCTGAGTGAAACTTCCAAAGCTCGCAGAAAACTGGCCCGCTGAATAGGAGTCAGCATGGGGCTTCTCTCCAAGCCCCTGGCCTGCCAAATTCCAGCAGAGCCCCTCACAATCAGTCCACACAAGCTTTACTGCTCTCCCCGCACTGAGAGAAGCGAAAAAAAAAGAAAAGCTAAAATACCAGTCACCGAGGTTAGCGGTTTGTTCCCAGATTAATGGCAAACGCCTCTGTCCCTGATGCAGCTAACCAATTCACTCGGGAGATGTGTGTGTGCGTGTGTATATATACACATATGTATATATATGAGTGTGTGTATACATATAGATACACGAATACATATGCATGCCTACACATATAACAAGAAAAGGAAGAAGGAAATACGGGAGCGTTACTAATTTTTTACTTTATGTGACCGCAAAGACTCTCGTGGCAGCAAACAGGTAGCGGGGCTGTCCCGCTGTCTCCCAAGGTCACGCTTATATCATCTCAATCTTTCCTGCAACGGTATGGTTTTAAGGCTCGGGGTGAAGGTGACTCTGAACGGCAGTCGTTTTTTTTTCATGCGGAGGTGAATACCAAGCAAAACTCCATGGGACAGTAAGAGAAAATGAATGGAAAAGTTTTTTTAAAATAAATAAACA